CCAACCAAACAAAAACAAAAGCAAAAAACTCCTACAGAGTTTCTAAATGATTTACAGAAGTGCTGCTTCACTGATGGACCTGAGGACAATAGTTCCTGGAACTATTGATAGTAACCCTGTAATTGAAGGAGAAAGGAAAATAAATTCTATGACCTAAGATTACGTACATACCAATTTGTTACATATGCCTGAAATGGAACAGATGTTCACATTTTTCAAGGGTCAAGGGGTGGAGATTATAAAAGATTGCTCTAACTCATTTTGTCCAATACCTGTAATAACTCTTAAAGTAGAACCAGAAGGGCTCTCTTTTTCATCTTGAAAATATTGATTACTGTGTTCTTATAAGCTTGCTCCACTATGATTATAAGTAAGCTTGTACCTCATACCCCATAGTCAGGGGATAAAAACCAAAATCGAAACCATTTGCACTCTGAGAGAAACAAACAGAAAGTAGATTCACCTTGTCTAGCACTAGATCCTCTCCACAAAATGAAACCTTGAGTTTGTTCACATAAGTTAATTACTCATGAAAACTTAGGCACTACCTTACCCATATCTACTGATGTGATAATCATGTAGGAGAGCCAGTGTTCCCTGGGTTCTCTTATTAATGGACTACTTCTAGCTTTACAACTTTGTTCTTCTTTACATGCCTCTCATTTATTTTTTTTATTTGCAGAGCCAGTTCCAAAATCTAGACATTCTTCCAAAATTTGGAAGGAATAATTATTTTCTTCATGGCTTTGGCTTTGAGCCTTTCTTTAACGGGAATAAATAAATGAGATAAGGAACTTTGAAATCACGTGTCCTACAAGTAGTTAAGCATTCACCAGTGAGCACTCATTACTCAAAAGAAAAAGGACTATTTCAGATGTGTTTACAGTGCCATTTTTGTAAAGATAAAGGAGAAAATAAGTGGACCTTGAGATGATACGGGAAATCTTTAGAAGTCAGAAGTAAAACATGAACGATGTATGAGAGAGAGAAGGAGAGACAGGAAGAGAAGAAGGAAGAAAAGAAGGAAGGAAGGGGAAAGGTGGAGAGGGAGGGAGGAAGGAAGGGCTATGTTTATATAAGCTTTAAACAAAAGTAGAAGGGAAATCCCAGAGAAGCATGGAGAAGCAAAGGACTCAGATGTCATCATGATAACTCTATTTTCTTTGTACTTGTTCCAGTATAGACACTGGTATACTGTATTAGTATAAGTTCTACTCTAGAGACAGCAGGTTGCCTTTGTCAGGATGGTCAGCGAGTATTTAATTAGAATAAGGCAACATTCCAGAGGCAGCCTCTACAAGCACTTCGACTATCTTTATTTCTGATCAAAAGTAGATATTTTGTTAATTACCACAATTGATGTTAGAAATCAAATTTGATTGCTAAAACTAATGGCTTTTTACTAATTATAATGGGTCTTGGAAATGGACTCTCCATGGTAAAACTAGCGCTATACAAGACACTCAGATTATTTCATATTATGTAGAGACACGTCACACCCCTACAAGTATCTAGTGGGGCCACTGGCCTGCCCCCTTAGAGAAACTTTTCCAGACATGATTCCAAAATGGCCCTGTGTCCAGATGAAGAATATTCTTAGATGTTATTACATAATGAGCCTAACCCTGCCACCGGTATACTGTCACATTTGCCTCACGGGAAACTTTCTTGTCAGTTTTTTGGGAACACACACAGACACACGCACACACACACACATACACAACAGTGTTGGAACTTCTCTCAGTTTACAGAATGAGTTATGTGTTTGTTTGTTAATAAATGCATATGCAACAGAATTTGTCCAAATTTTCTTTCAGTATGTCATGAAACCAAGGTGGTGGGAGAGTAGTTAACCTTTGCCTACCCCTAACCATTATAGTTACCTCATTTACCAAGAAGATCTTAGAATTATGCACTGCTGCATTGTCTTGGGTTAGTTCTCAACAGTTTTGTTTTTCCAAAGACCAGCATCTCATTCTAACTGGAACTCTGCCGGGTCATTTCCACAGAGGTGGCAAGGATACAATTATAATTTGGGTCACCCTGCAATGGCAGTTGTTTTCTAAGCTAAAAAGCCTGGACTGGCTCTGGCAGGCACCATACAGGCATGCCTCTTTTTTGTGTTAAGAATCACAGTAAATGTGTACTGAAAAAGAAAAATCTGGCTGAGTGTGGAGGATAAAATGGAAGGGTAGACAATGAAGACCAAGAACGTAGTGTAGGAAGCTTGGACAAGTAACTGCAATTAAGAGTGAGAAAATAGCCTATTTTCAAGAAGTGCAATTAGGTGATAATAAAACAAGATAATTGGGAGAAGGACATTTAGATTTAGAGGCTATTTGTGTGTTAATGCAATTGAAGATAGGGTTGTAAGAGTGGATATTGTAGAATGAGAAGAGCTAGGACCTGGGTCCAGAGGAAATAATGAAAGTTAAAGTTATGTAGAGGGGGACAACGATTGAGGAAAACAGAATCTTTCTGATACAGAACTGATAGAGTCAGGGAATGCCTATCATATGACCCAAAAGGAATTGCATGGATGTGTCCCTGACACCAAATACTCCATCTCCCAGTCTGATAGAATGGCTGATATCATTGGAATTTGGAGTTATTTGGATCTGGGCTTAAACTCTGTTTTTCTAATTGTGTGATTCTCTCTATCAACCAAGTAGCCAACACAGCACTTGCTATTTCATAAATATTCAACAAATAGTCGATGAATCTATTATTATCATATCACCAGAGTAAGACATTGCTTCAAAATATTAACTAAACTTTCCCTATTCTTCTTCATACTCTTTGTCTTTCCTTATATCCAAGAGTATTTCATGTACTCCCCTTTTAGGGGAGCTAATGTGGTGGCCAAGAATTAAGAAGGCATCACTAAACTTTTGACTTCTGAATTACACTTTTATTTTTTTAAAAAGACTTTATTTATTTATTCATGAGAGAGAGAGAGAGAGAGAGAGAGAGAGAGAGAGGCAGAGACACAGGCAGAGGGAGAAGCAGAAGCAGGCCCCATGCTGGGAGCCCAACGCCTGGGCTGAAGGCGGCGCTAAACTGCTGAGTCACCCGGGCTGCCCTGAATTACATTTTTTAAAGCTAAGTCAAGAGTATGAAAAGCCTGGGATCTCTTTTTAACAGTTATCTTTTCTTTGGAAGAATAAAGGACTGTGGGAGAGCTATGAAGAATGGGAATTGATGATGTCAGAGAAAGTTTGCACCAATGGAAAAATAGATAATTACTCAACCATACTAGCATGTGTAGAAAGATCTAAGGGGATGTGACTGAGGTTCAAAGGCATATAAATGATCCAGAATCTTCTACCATTCAGAACACGACAAATAAAAACTGCACTGGAAATTGATAGTTTGGGGAAAATCACTGATCTCATTCAGAACACAAACTAAATGTATTCAAAACAGGGTTAATAGATCAGGTGAGATGTTCAGTTAATCTGCTTTTTCAAACATCTTCTACCGTGCCAACTGTACAAACAACATCAGATCTTTAGATTGTAATGAATGTATTAAATTTTTAAAAGGCACAAAACAGTAGGGACTCAGGCTTCAATAAAATAAAAACTTTGGATATAGACCTATTTTCAAATCCCATCTTAGCCACTTATAGTAATGCCTGCGTTACCCTCATCAGTATGTTATCTAATCTCTGGGAGCCTCAGTAGCCTACCAGTAAAATGGAGAGTGTAATATTGACCTCAGAAATTTCTGAGCCTTAGCAAGAATGATTTAAGAATGCCGAGCCCTTTGCTTGGTACTCATTCAACAATAGCCCTTACATTGACAATTTTCTCATATCTCTCTGAAGTAGTAGCCAAAACATTTAATAATTGGCACATGCAGGCAAAAAAGTTAGAAACAAGTGCAAATAAAGACTGAAAAATTTACAAAACCGCACTCGTGCTGCAGTACGGTCTTCACCCTCATGAGAAAGGCAGAGGATTGCACAGCCTGGATAAAGTGCTCCTCCTCATGAGCCTGACAACCTATAATTCTATCCGTGTATTTATTCCAGAGGGTCCTGGAAAAGTGGGGGCATGGCTGGTCCCTTCATTTTCCTTCACTCCACACTAAGTGTGCCACTTAGTGCAACAGTGACAGTCATGGAAAAAAAATGTATGAATATGATCAAGAAACCGTGACCATCTGCACTTTGTACATCAGTTTGCATATGCTTCCTCTATTGCAAATTTACCTTATGTATGGATCACTCTCAAACAATCAAATCGAAAAAAAAAACTTAAGTCCTGTAATGGGTGGTTTCTGGACTTCAAATTCCTCTTAGAGCGCACACATATTCACAACTGATCGGAGGGGGCAAATCATTATTACGAGTTCCATGAAAACAACATTTACTTGTCCAACTCTAGTAAAAAATAGTAGATGTATTACTATGAAAACAATGTGCTTGTGCCCTGTATTATCTGTTGGTGCACACTTGGAATAAAAATTAGTCTTTCCAAATATAGCTACATAAACACGATTGAAAAGACTGCTAGGAATTCTAAAATATTCAGCACAGTTTATTGTAACTGGTCAGTCTAAGTAAGGAACAAATCGACATTCACTTCAACCCTCTGGGTTCAGGAACACGATTCAAAGAGGCTCTCCTTACCTATAGAAAAGTAAAGGTGGCCTTTCAGTGCTGATTACAAGGTGAGAAAAAAATGAACACTCTGATAGTGCAGCAATCAGCGTTTGTAATTCGCAAGTGCTACTTGGCATCAGATTCTAAAAAGGGTAGGTGTTGCTTTACAATTGTCAGAGGAAATTACCTATTGGCACCACAGCATCACACGGAAAGTTCCATGTAAGAGATAAATTTACAAACTGAAATATGGAAAGCTGGTAAGAGCTGCTGCCAATGGTTATGCAGCTAACTTTTCTTGCCCCTCAATAAAACAAACGCAAGAAACAGGGAAGAATTTTCCGGAAAAAAAAAAAAAAAACAAAACATTAAAAGAGGGAACTCATCTTACCTCCATCCAGCTCCTCGGCCCCAAAGTGATTCCTGTAGAAGAGCATGATTTCAATCTTGTAACACTTGTAGATGGTCACCAAACAAACAAGCAGCAAAAGGATAGCACCAAGCCCTCCAGCAAGTTCAACTGTGTACATTAGCTCTAGGGGAAAAAAATCACAAAAGGAAATGAACACCATATTCACATCCCAAATCACAAATTCAACTTGATTTCACAGTTCGGATGAGACCAGATGTAGGTAATGGATTAGCACAACCCCTTCCCTTTCTGCATGAGAATTTGACCTTTCTAGCTCTGTTTCCTTGGAAACCAGATAAGGTGGCCTGTGGTAACTGTGTTGCTAAGCGATGTTACTTATGGTAAAAAAAGGTAGATTGCATTTGGACCGAAGAATTATAAATACCTGTTTGGAAAGTAGATTCTGGGCTTGCCCGAGTACAGTAATTCCTATAAACATATCCCTTGTGGGAACCCTGCAAACTATGCTTGTGGGGTTAATAACAGAAACATCGGCTCCTGAGGCTATGAAGTGTTTAAACCAGACAGCTTCTGAACTCTCCAGTCTGAATTTTGATCCTTCCCTCCTGAGCTGTCACCTAGGGGTTGGGGCTGGGGGGTGGGGGGAGTGGCGGTAAGGGTTCCAACAACAACGCAGCCCCTGAAGGGCAGTGTGGACTCTTACATAGAGTGTTGGGTGGACCACCTGAGGAATACTATCTGCTGCCTGCTGCCAGGAGCAATGACTTCCTATCTCTACCTTTAGGAATAGTGACTAGTGACACCAAGGTGGCCTACCACAGTACTGGAGGCTCAATACTTGGGCTTAAAGTGTGGGCCCCCTAGTGGATGTCACACCATTCTATGGTGGTAGTATTTTCCTTTGACTAAGCTACTTAGATAGTTTTCTTTTCCTGTGTTTCTCCTTTTACTGGGCCAGTTGTTACATTTTATCCCAAAGAGGGATTTTTCTTGCCATTCACTACATACATGTTCTCTTTTTCCTATTGAATATCTATATTATTATCAGGCATTTCTGGGGATAAACCATTAACTTCTGTTTTCTTCTTTAGAGCTTATAGACCTTGTAACAAAATCAAGGGTAACTGGTTTTTAAACATTAAGCCAGAATGCACAGATTTTTGAAAAAAAAATTTAGAGAGAGTGAAAACACAAGCAGGAGGGGTGAGGGAGAGGGAAAGAGAATCTCAAGTAGATGCCATGCTCAGGGAGGGGGCTCTATCTCATGACCCTGAGATCACAATCTGAGCCAAAACCAAGAGTCCTTCACTCAACCAACTGCACAGATTGCAGTGCTGCAGAATGCACAGATTTTGAAGTTAACTTTAAGTTCTGTTTATGCCTGCTGTCTCAACCAACATAGCCCAAATGTTATTGATACATAGCCATTGTTCACTGCAGTTGATGACTACCTTGAAAAGTGTTAGTTTTCTTAATTACCATTAAATATAAAAACTCTTGGGGTACCCGGGTGGCTCAGTCTGTTAAGCATCTGCCTTCAGCTCAGGTCATGATCCTGGGGCCTAGGATGGGGTCTTAGGATTGAGCCTCACATGGGGTTCTCTGCTCAGCAGGGAGCCTGCTTCTCCCTCTCCCTCTGCTCCTCTTCAAGCTTGTGTTGTCTCTCTCACAAACAAATAAATGAATAAAATCTTAAAAAAAAGAAAACTCCCTGAAATTATGGCTTTAAAATAGTGGTATTTTTGATGTTTTAATTTACAATTCATCAATGGGTTATCTAATTTCATAGCATAGTGTACACTTATGCTGAAAACTTTAAAATAATCTATGATTTTGCAGTAACAACTACTCTTGTGTTACAGGATCACTCCTAGGGTGCCTGGGTGGCTCATTTGGTTAGGCATCTGCCTTTGGATCAGGTCATGATCTCAGGGTCCTGGGATCGAGCCCCACATCAGGCTCCCTCCTCCATGGGGTGTCTGCTTCTCCCCCTCCCTATGCCCTTCCCCGTGCTTGTGCTTTCTCTCCCTCACCCTCTCTCTGTCAAATAAATAAATAAACAATCTTTAAAAAAAAAGATCACTCCTGAGATCTCCAAAATGGGGTGAAATCATCATGGGTACGATACAGCATCAGTAATAAATGATTTGAAAAGCTCAGACATCATTTCCTCACAAGAACATTCTGTGTTTCTGCATGTGTGTGTTCGCATGTGATGTCACTTTTCGTGTGATAATTACAGAACAAAACTCAGCCATATTTTTTATTATCTAGTCCTGCATTTTTAAACAAATAGTTTTATCAAAACATGTAATTACTGTTTAACCAAGTACATTTTTATGCTTTTATTAAAGTTAAATGGGAAATAGAAGAAAATCTTATTAAAAGTGCTTGGATTTTATGGATTTAAGAAAGGAAAATAAAATGAATTATTAAATTTTTTAGAGTTTAAGTGAATCGATATGGAAAGTGAAATACTGAAAAGCACCTCCTGGAAATGTTTACATTTTGTATTTATAAATACCAGACAGCTTTATCGGTTGAATCTTGTGAGGCCTACACAAGACAGTACTACAAACATTCTAAGAGTGAAATACATAAAGCTCTTCGGTATAATGTTTTCCCATTCCTATGTGAACAGAAAGGATAAGTGGGTAGAGAATTCTGTAGGGTGCACTGGGCCTGGTTCTGTCAGTATATGAGTTAACCCTACCACGCAGAGAAACCTGCACAAAACTAACTTATGCCTATAGGCTAATTTATACACCAAAATCATCTGATTAAAATTATATGGTATGATGGGAGAGAAAAATATTTGGACAGTGGTTTCTTTTCAGATTCATTCTATTTTCTAATTTAATGCATTAGCACTTGCAATTTATCACCCTAAAATTTCTTGCATGAGAAAAGAATTGGAAAAAAATGAACAATGCTTAATTTGTACTCTCAAGGGATGCCTGGGTGGCTCAGTGCTTGAGCATCTGTCTGCCTTTGGCTCAGTGCCAAAGGACCCTGGGATCCTGGGATCAAGTCCTGCATCGGGCTCTCTGCAGGAACCATGTTTCTCTCTCTGCCTATGTCTCTTCCTCTCTCTCTGTGTCTCTCATGAATAAATAAATAAAATCTTTAAAAAAATTTGTGCTCTCAAACTGCTAGTAGAAGAGCCCAATGGTACCACTACATTAGACAGTTTGGGGTAGTTTCTTGTAAAGTTAACTGTGAATCAACCCTATGACTAGCAATCCCATTCCTAAGTATTTACACAAGGAAATATAAGCAGATGTCCACAAGAAGACTTGTTCAAGAATGTTCAAAGTAGTCTTGTTCACAGTAGCCACAACTGAAAACAATCCAACTGTTCATTAACAGGAGATACTGAACAAGCTGCAGTATGTCCATATGATAGAATATATTAGAGTAAAAAGAATAAACTACTGATACAGGCAACATGCATGAATCTCACAAAATTACGTTAGGTAAAGGAAGCCAGACACAAAGTAATATCTTCTGTATAATCCTGTCTAAATGGAGTACAAGAAGAGGCCAAAATAAATCATAGTGACAGAAATCATAAAATGGATGCTTTGTGGATGAGTGATGGGAAAATTTACTGGAAAGGGGCAAGAGGAAACTTGCTGGAAATATTCTGTATCTTTCTTCAGGTATGGGCATACCTGAAGTCTCTACATTGTCAGAACTCAATGAACTAAACACTTACCATCTATGCATTTTACCTTATGTTAATCACACTTCAATTCTTTAAAACTTTGATTTAAAAAATAGCCCTTTTAAATTCTAACTCAAAACTTATGTGGAGAGATTAAAGCTGGAGTCAGGACAGCTGGTCTACTATAGATATCTGCTCAGGCTGGGAATGGTTCTATGTTTGCTCCAAGTACACCCTTGGATTCTAGAGACACAGTACCAGGCCTGGACAAGTAGCATCCGTCACGTGCCCATATCTAGTGGAATAGCTTTTGAAACAATCCAAAACTGTGCATGAAACATAATCCTATTAATGCAATAAGCAGAATTCTCATTTTCTTCAGATGGTATTTATAATACTGTTCTCTACACACTTAAAAAAAAACTTTTAAGCACTGAATATGTAAAAGTTAGAGAAAAATTATATGAAAATTAGTCCTTCTTATTTTTAGAGAACATATTGCCCAAATGTGAATTATCTCCATTGCTATAAGTCATGAGCCACTCAAATAATTATATACACTACCTCAAATACACTATCTAGTAGGCCAATCAACAGTACTGTCTGAAATGTAATGAGAAAAATACAGCAGAGTTGACATGGCTTAGCAATTAGAGAAATGGTCTAGTGTCACATGAATAGATCTCTTAAGGTACAAACATGGAAAGTTATACATACCTAGAGTATGGGCAAAAAGCAAGAGTAAGTCTTCTGAGCCATTGGATAGTTATTTACTAATAAGACGAAGATCAAAACTGGATTCAAAGAAAGGGCGTTTTCAAGCAGCTAATTTATTCCAAGATCCCAAGAGTACCACAGACTTCCCCCAGATACTTCTGTAGTATTACATGCAGGAGGCTGTTCTTCTTAACAGTGTTCTTGAAAGTCAGAAAAGAAACGTGTCTTTCCCCACAGTCTACACCCCAGTGCCTGCTTCTCAGTTACTCCCATATTTCTATGCAAGAGGGACGTACATGCCTTCATATTATAAATGAGGGAGGTTAAAACCTTTCTCATTTATGTTTCTCACATGGATTCATATACCATGGGCAAACTCTCCCAAAGGAAATGGGGTACAAGATTCAGTTTCTACATTCTTTTTGCCCCAAGCTGGACACATTCATTAATGTGAGAGCTGCCCATTATGCTTATACACTGGGTCAGGACAAAATTACTAGGGGTTAAATTCTGTTACATTTAAAAGAAATGATTCAGGACTCACTGCTGTATTGCATCTTTACACCCAGCAAATGTCATTTTCCCTTTGAAATGAGATCTGCTTTTCAGCCCAAGTTGAAGTTGCCTGGAGTGGCAGCATTTAAAAAATAAAAAGATTCCATTTCAGCACAATTCAACATCAGAAGATGGAAAGAGAAAGTGCAGACCTTTTAAAAATCTGGTTAGCCTTTGTGTTATTGGGTTAAAATGATAGACTCTACCCCCTTTAAGGGACCGA